CACCACCACCACCACCACCACCACCACCACCACCACCACCACCACCACCACCGCCACCAATCTACCCATTTTCACCTGCCTACCCCTTTGTTTTTCGAAGGATCTCACCAGATTACACCTGCATCTGGGAAACGGACAAGTTGGCTTCGATTCGCCAGAGAATATCGGGGCTCTCACTGGTAACCAAGCAGGTAATACTACTTATTCTTTTTTATTAAAAAAAAATATTCGATTCACTTTATGTCTGGATGGAGAAGGACTTGGTTTTTAATTTGGTCATTAAAACGATGCTCTCCGGGGAATTGAAAAGGTGAAAGTGAAATCAACTATCCAAACACAAAACGCGCCAAAATTTGAAATGGTGTTTTTCTTCGACCAATTTTCAGATGTTTATTGTTTCACATACTAGATTTACCAATTCTAACGACAAAAATGTTCAAGAATGAATGTTTAAGGCGCAACATCAATGTTTCAGTTCAAGGCGATTAAACGCATCTATTGGCGCTTAAGTGATAAAATTTGAAAAAACCGCGAGCCTCGAGCCTGTGATTCGAAGTTTACCAACCTCGCACACCACTGAATTTGCGGCCGACTCAGAGTTAATAGCATACTAGCTGGGACGAAGTGACAATTTCTGCGTTGAACCAACTACCTCGGACGGCTCATAATTTTGATGGAGTCGTTCAACGAGTCGAACAAACACCAAGCGAGTGTCATTGATGCTTTCTGTACACTCATCAGATTGGCTGACCGTCATCGTGAAACGTGCAGTTGCAGGACAACGACAACCAACCAGGTACTATGACAGCAAGTTCTACACTCGACATCCGATGCCATTCCCTCTACCTGGAATGGCAGTTACCAACACTGCCGAAAGATCACATTTCCGTCAAGTTATCTTATGTACGTTCAAAAAAGACGCCGAGAGAGCTGGAAATTCGAGGAGCAATAATGAAGGTGATTATTTGAATCGTGTCTCGGCATTTAGGACTGTTATTTTGGCAGTTTGGTCCACTTTAACGTGGGGGCCTTTGAGCGAACTTCTGAGACAAGTTGACCACTTCTTCGTTGCACCAACTACCTCGGACGGCTTGTAATTTTGATGGAGTCGAATGAGGTTTCCCCAGGACAACGACAACCGTTCACCTCCAGGGACACGCCAGGTGACAGAAAGTCATCAGGAGAATTGAGTAATTCAGAGATGATCAACGAGTTGAGAAAATATTTGCCAATTGCAAAATATTTTGCCATTTCTGTCATCGATGCTCCCTGTACACTCATCTGATTGGCTGAACCAAGGTTGCCTTGAAACACCGTTTGTTTAAACCCATTTGAGTGTGCAGGGCACTTATTCAAAGTGGGAATAGAAAGGCCACATTTCCGTCATGTTATGCTATTTGACTTCAGAAAAGGGCGGCGTGAGTGTTGACACTCTGGTAAACAATACTCGAGGCCTTTATTTGGTGGCTTCAATCCAAACGACAAGCTTAGCCCTGGGCAAAATTCTCTCATTGATGCTTACCCTATCCGTGCGTTGGGTTATTAAAATCCAGAGATCGCCACTAGATTGATTATTTAGTGACTAAATGTTGGCTATTTGAGGGAATTTGGCCAAGTAAATCTGAGTACACTTCGAAACGGGATGCATGTGCTCCTCACGTCTTGACGGGACACAGCCAACTGGACCGTGTTTCCAAGGCCATTTTTCCCTCCGTCGGTCGACAAAACGATCTTTAATTTGAATCGAGACGCAACTGCTGTAGCTGAAACCCCGTTTGTGTACGACAGTACGATACGACAAAAGAAGCCGGTAACACGAAATCGGAAGAACAGCATCTTTGGCTGATGGCTGAATTGTTGCACCCAATGAACGTTCCGTTCTGTGTCCTTTGATTGGTTTGCCGAGAAATATCTTCCTACAAGTTCTACCTCGGAGATGTTCTGTGATCAACTCGCTGCACCCAATTTTGACATCCAAGCCAAACGTCAAAATTCTGTCAAACGAAAAAGCTTTAGGTGTTACCATGGCAACATTTGACCAAAAGTCGTATTTGCCGTATACCTTCTTCAGACCTTCACCTGATTCGTTCTCAACGAACAACCTTGATGCAGTGAACGAAGTTGAAATGTACTTTACGAAGGCGCGGAGTTTCTGCGTAAGAAGGAAATTCAAGTCTTGCAATGCGTTGTGAGATGACCCAGTGTGCAGCATTGATGGATTACTCCAAAATGCGCCGTTTTGTCTGCGCCCACTCGCTCTTTTTCGTATTACGCACAATGTCGGCCTTGCTCTGAAGCAGTCACCCTTTGAAATTACTCCGCTTTGACCTCCCGCACATGTGACCTTGACCTGCTTCGCCCTCTAATTCTACCACTGAATGCTGCTTCTTGCTAGTCTACGCGGCTTTAACAGTTAGTATTGCCTACTTTTGGAGACTTCACGCAAGGCCTGTTGCACGAACCCAATCTAAACATCCCCGCATCCTTCCAACGGTAGATACTTGGCTGGATTTTGTGGATGCTGAATTTGGCCTGGCGGTCGCTGCGTTTGCATTCTGCCTCACTTTGCCCGGTAGTTAAGTTTTCTTGTAGCTTTGTCGCTAACCTACCTTCCTTTCATTTCTCTTTGCCTGCAAGCGTTTGTTTATCCCATTGCGCGTACATGTGATGCTGGCTCGATTGAAGCTTCAATGAATTTGAGACGACCCTACAAACTGCACTCATTGCGGACAAACTACACCCGATACCATCTTCAAATTGTGCGCTGAAAATGTGAAAACAAGGTGTGTTTTGCGACTCAGAACTGTAGAGACGGAGTGAAAGTAACCCCCTGCATTCACCCTTCAACATTCCACTGTAGATGTTGGCTTGGAATGAAAAAGTGTTGCGTTCAATAACAACGCAGTTGGTTACCGGTAGTAGCGCGCCCGCCCTGGCATTTCCATCTGCCAATCAACACGAACTGTAGTTGTGTCTTGTTTATTAGTTTGTGGCTGTTAAAATAACCTTTTCTTCAAGAACTCTGCTATCACAGAGCGTTCTTGGAGTTCGTCTGACCACTCAGCCTCTGTGGAAGTGAGGGATCAAACTAAGGTCGAATCGAAGGCCTCCGCCTCAAGTCGTCGTTCGTTGAGTTGGCGTCTGACTCGCCCTATTTCAAGTAGTGTCGTGGTTACAGTAGTCATTTGATCAAATCTTCATTTGCTTTGTGGATTGAATTTACTTGCATTTATGGATCACAACCTGATTTTTTGAAAATTTGATCAGAAATACGTCACTGTGTGTTCATGATCGTGTCTGACTAATACAGGTCGTTGACCAATGAAATATGGGCTAAGTAGTACAGTGGCCAGATTAATTGCACGAGGGATGGATAATGAAGACACTGTGGAACTGGGAGGAGGAGCCGAAAGCAAACAATTCAACGGCCTTGAGGTGACCTCAGGCTTTGTTATCGATCCGCGTTGGATGATTGGTCACGTGCTGACCAATAGTCATCGATCTTCATGGTTAATTACTTGAAATTTGACTTTGTTTTCTCCAGCAAACATGATCACCAACTCTCAAATTGTCTGCAATTTTATTGAACCATTCCCTCGTCCACTTATGAAATCTTGACGCGACCTTAGGTTTGTTTCCAATCAACGTCAGAGGATTGGCCAGGTGACGACCAATAGTAATCGATCCTGACTTCTAATCACTTGTCACCTTAGCCTTCAAAATACCCTCGACACTGTGCGATCTCCTTGACCTGCACTTGCATTTTTCACACAACTTCGTTTAAAGCAGAGTTTGAAGCGTCTCAGGTGCGTTCCAAAGAGGCATTTGCCCTGAAAAAAATAACTGACATTGTCTCCAAGTTAAGCACGTGGCGTATATGCCAGCGACCATCTAGTTTTGGCAAGCGAGCGAGCGTGCCTGCCGTTTGGCCAATAATTAAATTAATTGGCGGGAGAACCATTTGATCAAATGGAAGCCACCTCGGCCGCTCGATAACACCTTCGAATCTAGCCGTGTGTCTGCAACGCAGCAGGTTTCATAACGTGGGCTCGGTACCGCATGTAGGCAGCGGAGCGAGTGCTCACATTGCCTCCATGGTTGATGTATGATAAGATTGTTGTTAATAACGAGAAAACGCACTCAAACAAGTAACTGGTAGATAATCCGTGCGCTCAAATGTAACATCGAATTTTGCAGTAAATACAGTCCTTCTGGAACTCATGACAAATCCCTTCCTAACACCCACGAAACCCGTCAAAATACGCTTGTAACAAGATTGCTGGTTGCCCTGCTGGAACCTTCTCGAAATTGTTGGTTATTGTCGTCATCGATGGCACCGGAGCTCGGCGTGTTCACGTGTCCTCTCATCGTGTGAAATAATGTCCAAACGGTGATTCTCAAGGTGGGGATGATTGAAAAATTCGTATGGATCCGAGGGGTTATGACTCTTACTTTGATGGGGCGCTGAATTGTCGGATGAGTTGTCCCTGGAACACGTCAGTATGCCCTAGCAACCGTGTGCATTTGTGTCCGATTGGTCGACCTTTTGAAACTTACGATTAAGCTCTTGTCGGGATTAATTTCAGGCCTTAGCTGAAATCCTCCACTTGCTGCCACGCCTCGATGCCGACGCTCTGGAACTGCTGGCCATCGAGGTTGAAAACAGACGTCGACACCTCGGGGAGACAGTTGCGCCTTCTTCGCCGCCTGATGACCACTCCACTGGCGTCTAGTTGGATGGCCACCTATTTTTATACTCCCCCCTAAACCCTCTTGTTATCATTTTTTCAGTCCCGATTGTTCTATTTGTTGCTGTTGTTACCATGGCCGATTTTTTGCGTCCTTGTTCGAAGCACATTTTAAACAGTTTACAGTCGTCTTCTGCGTCGTCACAGACAAATTAATGTTCGCGTCTGGTTGCGGTTAAAAATCACTGCTTACTAATTCGAAAATAACCGCGCGCCTTTTGATTATGCCTGGTTTATGCCAATTGAAAAATGCCTTTACCGAATTGCAGAAGTGGCGGGCAAGTCTCACAAAAGCGGTGCTTTGATGGCACTAGCAGGTCACTGCGAAATTGACTTTCCTTTGAGGTTGGCGCAGTGATTTCCGAAAGTTCAAATTACTTTAAAAATTACCGCTCAAATAGTGGAAATCGACAGGAAACAGTCGATGGTGTAGAAGCAAGTCACAAATGGAAACTGTGCTATCGTGAATTTCTAAGACAGTTGACTAAACTCCATTACTTCTGATCGTCTTGTGACGCCGTAATTAATTTATTGAGATACGTTCTGATGGTTATTGTCATCTGAGTTCACTGTCTGCGGGAATCGCTGTGGAGAGTTGTCGGCGTGGATGGAATGTTTTGAAATAGGTGCTTTTCATTAATTCAAACTACAATCGCTTTGATTGAGCCAAATTTGACTTCGCCAAATGCCTTATTATGACAATGCCTTCATGAGGTACCCTTTGTAGTAGCTAAGCATTATCCTGCTGTGTAATGGGGATTGATTAGTTTAAATTCAACTTATCCGATGTTCAGACAACAGCAGAAAAAAAATCAACCAACTGCCTTTTATTACTAAAGTGTGCTCCAAAACCGACTGTTTAAGCCTGAAAGAAGGCAGAAGTGGCCCGATTCGATGAAACAGGTGTTTCAGGAAAAAAATCAATAAATTATCGATTTCGCACCACCCCAGCGAATAGCTTCTCGCCAATTGGTAAGACCCTTCGAGTGCAAATGCTAGTACGAATGACTTCAAATCGAAATTACAAGGGTCAAACTCGAAGACTCCGGTTCTCTGTCAAACCAAAAAATCCCAAGGGTAGAATTTTAACTACTTTAATTAAGGAAAAGTGGAAATCTAGGAATTCGGTTTTTTGGATGAATTATCCGAGTTTCTCCGCTAGATTTCTCAGTTGTGTGTTCGATAGTTGCTTAAACAAACTACCTCTGGTGATTTGACATGGTCCCATCGCTGTTACAGTCTAGTACGAATTGCCGAAATTAACATTTCAATGGCCTGAGTGGTTGTGGAGGTCAGGAAGTTAAAGTGAACTTTTCTGAAAGCAGGTGAGCACTACACCTTTAAAAAAAGCATTTCCGATTCCATCGAGATCTCGATTGCAGATGCCCTCAACTTAGTGACTGTTTTACGTAGTAAAAAGGAGCGTTATCGTGAAATGCCAACTCCCGCAGACAGCAAATTAAGTCGAGAAAAAAGATTTTGCAATGTGGACCAATCAGGCACTGATGAAGCAGCAATTACACACCTAATCGTACCAAATGACCACTCCAAGTCATCCTTTTCCAGAACCGACTCTTTGGTAGAAATTTCGGGTTTCTCTGCATTAAAGCAGACCATGGCTTGATCGAATTTTCGAAATATGCAAAGATGTTAGCGGTTTATAGCATGGTTGGACGTCTCCGATTGTCTAAGTGTGTGAGATGGTTTCTTTCGGGGGTTAAAACGAAATGCCTATAGTTGGATTTTAAATTGCTTCAACGCTTTGAATAAAAAAGCACAACAAGGCCACACTTGACTGGCATGTAACTACTAATAAATGATAAAATTTCACGGTTAACTTGCAACGCTAAATCACCACCCAAACTGTTTTACGTAGCTGTGTGATTTGTTTTAAGGGGCGAATGCCAGAAAGGAATGCACCGTATTTTTGAAATTACCTGCCCTTAACCAACCCTCTTATTTTTGACAGGAAGTCAGGAATTCCTCAAAATCAGTCAGATTCCACGTTAATAAATCCAGCATGCCAAGTTTTTGGATTCCTTCACAGAATGCACATGCTCTTTTGCAGTGATTGAGTCCCAATTTTCATTTGTGCTACAGAAACGCTTGATAGTGATTGGTAGATTACACGTACCACTTTACCAACTACTTCTGCCATCTCTCTGTGTCGGCCAACCACCTCGCTTGCTCCGACAAACCCTCGTTTTCGACCATCTTTAGGGTGAAAAACCAATTTAATCGATCATCTCTGATAAAATTACAATCACGTCGAACACATCGCTGGTCTACGATTAAACAAATCGACCATGCATTGCTAACAAAGAACCCCAATATCGACCAATCACCTTACAAGTCATCCTATCGACCTTAATAATATCGTCCTGGCTAATAATTACACAGATATTGACCAATAAACTGAAGGAATTTGGTTTCGTGTTATTACCAGGGAGTGATTTATGCTTAGTAAATTGGACGGGAAAAAGCATAAATTCAGTATTCCAACGCCTCCTAGGTAAACCCACTTTGCTATAGGCTCATCACGAAGAATTCTGACTCAATGGCATTCAATACCTCAATACAACTCATGGTTTTGCCTTCAAAAACGACATTTTCCGGACAATCAGGCCAGATTTCAACGACTCAACATACCAAACTCAAGAAAATGCTTACCAAAATCTAAAATGTGGTTCTTGGTCGCATTAGACTGACTCGATGGGCGGAAAAACGCCACCTATCAGTTTGCCTGACTGAACAGAAGGCGCGCAGCAGCAAATTTGTTGTACTTTTTCCCCGTTCGGACACTTTTTATTTGTCAATGAAGGGAATTCGAGATTCGTTGCTTTCTTCCAAGCAGTCTTTATTCAACCAAGCCAATTCACATGGAACACATCCAGAAAGTGTCGCTCAATTACGAAAGCGTGAGATAATTCTGGCCAAAAACGGCATAACTACCGGTTTATAAGCAACTAAAATCCTCTGAAGCACTGATCTGATCAAAAACAGATGGCCACTACTGCCTTTAACGACCACTAGGCATCAAATCCCTGAATCCGTTAAAATAGACATACCTAGTAGGTCGACACAGACGACGGCAGAGGCTATTGGTACAGAGACGTTGCCAAGAATCAGAACAGCTGCTCTCGCCGGAATAAGAACGAAAGTAAGAATAAGCGACGACGCGTACGTTTTTATTCGCAGAAGGTGCATCTCACTAGCTCTTTCTCTCTCACACGTACTTTACCGTCTATTGCACACAACAGAGGATAATGACTTGTTCACTGGCGACGTAGAGGTATTTACACAAAATGAAACCAGCAAAATGAGGAAGGACGGCGCGACTGCCTAAGTCTAACGACTGCCACCCTCGCATTTGTGATTGGGGCAGGCGGTGTGGGGGATTTTGAGGTCGGGCAGGGCCTTCGCAGAACCCTCGCAGGGAGTCACCACGATGCTGGGCTGGTCTTTTTCGGGTGGGTGGAGTTCATGGGCCTTCCCTGTAACAAAATAAATAAACCGAGATGTTAGATTGACTCACCCACTGAGGGCATCGTTGCACCTTCCACTTGGGGTCAACTCAAGGCCGCATGACGCAACCTAATTGGCCAAAGTCGGGTGAAGGGTCGATTCTCCACAAATGTTTGGTGATTGACAAAAAGGCTACTTTTGGGAACAATTGAACACGTTAGAAATTGGAAGCGAACGACACTACCGCTCACATTACATCTGTGGAGGGTCATTGAGGCTTAGGTGGGTACAGGCAGGTAAATCGGCAGTCATGCAACACGCACTTCACCACGTTTGTGGATGATGAACTACTGGATCTTTAGAATTGTCCGAGATAGTTAACTTATGTGAATTCTGATGAAAGGATCTACCAGAACTACAACGCATTCCATTCTATCAGCAGTGAGGTAGGGATAGACGGGGGTTGAACAGCTATGCAGGAATTCTGACGTGCTCTGAGCACGACACCGCTTCTGCCGGAACATTTAAATTCTACGAGATCAGTATAGTTCTAATCAATCTAGGGGAAAACGAGTAGTAATGACAAACACCTGTTTCAAGAGTAAGATTGATTGCAAATTAGCACAAGATAAAGGAGGCATCTATAAAAAAAATTACAGAATCTTTTAGTTGTGAGTGGGAATGGAGTCGTCTGGCAACAAAACAGAATTTACATGCGAAGGCGTGGAATGACGCGAGAAAATTGTGGCGCTAGAAGCGATTCACGCAAATAACGGACACGAACATGTATTGAACACAAGCACAAGCAAGCTACCACGCTAATTCGGCCACTCACCACACAAAGCACGAACCGAATTCTCGAGGGTGTCACGTTGTTGAATTTTTTAATGAAAAACTCGAAAGTTGATTCTGATTTGTGGCACAAATGCCCCACCGAATCGTACTAAATAGCACTTCCAAAAGCTGTTTTCCGTTGGTTTTCACATCTGCTTTCTGTTAGACTCGACATTGTATCGAATTTGTTTTGCGAATTTGTGTGTAATACAATAAACATCTTTATTAAAACCCCCCAAAAAAATAGTGGACTGTAGATGACGGAGAGAAAGGCGAATGTAAATAACTTCGTTTGCAATAAACCGCCTTTCCAAAGACATAAATCCGATACAAAATATAAGGCAAAGCTCAATGTTAACCAAGAAAACGATGTGGCAGAATTGCAATCGTATACTTAGAGGAAGTAGAGAGCGCACAGTTCTGACCTCGATGTACACGATAGACCGAATAACAGGGCTCCTTTGTCTGCGGTTAATTTTGCAATAACAACAAAAACAGTTATTTGGGTTACCTTGACCACTTAAAGCCTCAAATGACATTAGAAGTGAGTAGTCATGCGCAAATCATCGAACATCGAGTAAATTTGACAGTAAAAAAGGAACATTATACAAACAAGAAAATGAAAAGTTGCTCAGAATTTTTAAATTCTACGTGTTGATGAAATCCGAGGACATTAAATACCTGCGGTAGAGAAGGCGAAATGTACTTTTAAGGCAAAAAAGTGCCAAACAAGAAATTGAGTTTTGCGCAAATGGGAGGTCTTATCTAAAACGCCAGCTATGGGTTAAAGGTACATCTAAAAAGATTGACCGCAATATTTGCGGAGTACTAGAAGCCGAACTGTGGAGATGGTTTTAAAAACAGGGCGAAACGGAAATGAGTACCACAACATCGTGTTGACATTTATTAATGTGATCTAACACTACATATACTACTTCCTGTTATTCTTAAAGTGAGTGAATTAATTGCGACGTGCATTAAAAATGGAATTTATTGGGATGCGCATGTGAAAACGCTCGCTGCTTACCGGGTTCAAGAGCTGCGATGGCGTGTAGGAGGTCGTAGTTGATGGCGGGCTGTGCTTCGACTCGGAGTTCCCATCCTGCAGGTGGGGAGGCTGGTGGGGAGATAAGAAAAAGGCGGTCAGCTTTTGGCAGAGCAAGATGCTCGTAGCCATCCTCAACTTCCTCGAAATCTTCGAGTGCACCCTCTTCCTCCGTGACCCGGGCGTCGTCCTCGTCTTCAAACGAAGTGGTGTTTGGTGATGACCGAGATTGTCGTTTTGGTTTTTGTCGTCTGCAAAATTCACCGCCTCCACCTCTTTCGTCAGCGAAAAAACAGCGAATTCCTTCATCGCCTCTAATTTCATGTTCGTTATTTGCGTTGTCCGTAACAGCAATCGGTAATCGCCAGCCCTGCGTTTCGTACCGTGCTAAGAAGGCTGAGTCTGTAGAGGACATTGTTACCTGCAGAGTAGACAATTTCAGAGGAATTTAAGTAGATAAGAAATGCTAGGCACAAGAAACTGGATGATGTTAAAGCGATAAAAAACAACCAAAATACCATTAAAGTACTTTATTGTTAGCAATCCATTGAGCTTTTTTTAACCAACACAACCTATTGTGTAAATAGATCCTACAAAGCAACAATATATTAGGTTAAATTTAACATGACAGGATGTAATCTACACAAAGGAACGACGATCCCAGAGGATTATTACTTACAATCACACGACGAAAGCTTGGAAGGTATATAAATTCACAGGTGTCATCGTAGGCACGAAAAACCTCCTCAAATAAGTGCTAAATGCAAGATTGATTCCGTTCACTTGAACTACCTTTGCATCCAAATGGGAAAAGACATCTGCAGGAACTTTAGTGACGATTAATCGGTTTGAAATAGCAGACGTTTTTACGGATTCATTAGCTTCCTCCATAACTAGATGCTAAATTATGGAGGAACCAAATTAGGAGAAATAAATTATGAGAGCAAAATTAAAACTTTTACAGAGAAAAACTAGCCAATTGGAAGAAAAGCGTGAAGTGGATGTAAATATTGATTTGTTAAAACACATTTATCTGAAACTAAATCTGGCAAATGCTGTTGCCAACATTAATAGTTAAACAATTTTTTAATCTTTAAACGACTTATTATATAGTTGAGCACATGTAATTTTAATCAGTTTTTTTCCTTGGATTCATATATTGATTCATTAATTTACTCTAATTTAAGCGATCTCCATTGTAAAAGCATTTATGTGATATATCACGCCACCAAACTAAATTAACTATACCTCGTTTATTTTTTTAATAAAGTTCCAGTCACATTTTATAATCCTCAAATGTGTATTGAAGTTCTCTAATGCGATGTTTTTTTTCTAGTTTACCATGATGTTTTCGTAGTAAACTGAAAAAAACGTACCCCTTTGATAGTAAAACCACATGTTTTAAATGTTTGGTTTCAGCTAAGGCTGTCAACCTACGTAACACTGTGACGATATGCAAAATAATTCCTCTGGACCCCGGGATGTGGTATTAAACAACGCCTGGGCCGCATGGCGTTGAAATTAGCCCGATTTCTTCGCCTTAATACCCCTGTAAATTAACAAGACTAGATACGGCATACACAAAGTCGTATATTGCAGTGATCAACAAAGTTGTTTCCGTGGTGTTCATTGCGGGCTAAGGCGTCAGGTTTTAGTGGATATCTTGACATCGCTTTTTGAATGAACATCGCCATGATCGATTTAATCCGTGCTCATTTAACTTTAATACTGAAAAATGATTCGAATCCCTAGCGATTTTTTTACCCGTAATACAAGTTCGTTTTTTGTAAGTAACAATAGTCATTTGTGAGTTGACCAAACGTCGGGAGTTTGCTTTGAAACTATTTAGACGTATCCTTGTGGGAGCAACATGAACTTCATTCTTGCTGGTTTTCCATTTATGAAGCATTTGTTCGTGTCATTTTTTATTGTGTTTTAACTATCTTTCATTTTCAAGGAGGAGTTTATCAGCTTGCAATTTTTTCAGTTATTGTGATTTATATAAAAAAATTTGTTTGTCAAGTGCTTTATTTTTGGAAAAATGAATTTATTCCCTACGATAATTTTGAACATTTCTTAAGTCAGGATTTAATCATTATCCCCACAAATAAATAATTTATCCATGTCTTCCAATACGGAATAAAAATCATGCTTTCAAATGAACTATTCAGGAGCTCTTATTACCCGCTATTAGAGCACTTTTTACCTTTGTAGTTAGATGATTTTAATGCTTTAAGCGCGTAGTCGATTACTTTATATTTTAAACTGAAAATGCCTGTAGCAATTATTGACGCACACGATTCACTAAGTTATTTTGTGTATTGTGTTTACTAATGTCTATTTACCGGGTTAGTGATTTTTCCGACACACTGTTCCTTAATTCTGGCCATGCGAAACTATCCACTTCCACACACTTTATTTCACAGCCGTGGACGTGCACACACGAGTCCCAGCTTGGAAATGACATTGGTTAGACGGTTGAATCCCTCAAGCCCCTTTCTCATCTCTTCATTGGCCACTTTGTGTTGTATTGTGGCACAACAATGACAAAACCTTGGTGGTCATGTGGACAAATTAGTGATTAAGGTTATCGATTGCCAATAAAATGAATATGGGAAAAATATATATTTTTTTTGAAATTTAAATGTTAACACCAAATGAATCAATACCTTTCTAGCATAATCGTAGTTTCGAAGCGATTCACAACATTGTTCGTGAAATGATTTCCACTATATTCTAATTAATCCAGTGTTTGCATTTAATGTAATCCCCATTTTATATGACTGTAAGCTTAAATTACGACTTGCACTGTATGTGTTTAAGACCCCAAGCATGTACGCTCAAACCACTGTATCAAATTGGCCCTCTACGCTATTCAGATAGTAGAAAAGACGGTACTTAGACCAGAACAGGCAGAGACGAGCGTTTACAATACAGCTCAAATGATTCAAATGCCAGAGAATACAGTGACCGGGTAAATGGACGTGGAGCAATAAGATTCACGACAAATGTATAAGCGGGCATGACTAGCGTTTACTGGGATAAAGTCCCCATCCAAAAAATTCACACGTGCAATTTTTAAATCGCGTGATTCATAGCACCACCTCTTTTCCCACGAAACCTCCATATTCTGGTCGAACAAAGTACTCACTTTCATATCCCCGAAATTCTTACGTCATAGTAAGTCAGCGTTTCTGCCTGTGGACAGCATTGTCGTGGCTTCACATTCCCTCGAAACAACATGTTTTAAGCCTCAACAAAACAACTGATTTTTTTTTCCGTTTATGGCAAATATCACATAACTAAAGGTGACAAATTAAAAATCCTTTGTTGCTTTACGTGTAAGAGAAGGCGAATATTTTATAACCAATTGAGATTTTCAATGCATTGTAAATTTTCGCTTATTATGTTAACATCCATATCGTCTCAAACTCACAGTTGCTGATTTCCACAGATTTCGAACGTGCAACCCATCTTGATAAGAGATTGTCTGATGAATAAATCAAGTTTTTTTTGCCGTCCATTAGACTTTCCTAACTAACGCGAGCAAGATTCAAAGTCTAGTTATTTCTTAGTCGGTAGGAATTTGAATTATCCTCCCAGATTCAATTCTGGGTGCAGATCGTGTTCGCCTTAGCAAGATACCCCAGAATTTGTGTCGAGGTTGATGAACGATCACACTGGTTCGCGACAGTTTAGTGGTTTGGCAAGCAGCTCCCCAAAGTAATCAGTAAATAATGATCGAGTTCAGTAGCATCAAAACAGGAGAGGCGGCTTAGATCGTTATAAAAACGTATGTCATGAAAAAATAAGACAAAACTTTGCACCGGTTTGCAGGTATTTACCTTCTGGTATGATGACCCATGCAGCATTACTTACCGAGCATACGAGAACGATGGCAGTGAGACAACGGGTTAAGCAAGACTGATGTGCCAAACGCTGCGTCCATTGGACGGTGGTTTCCGCCTCCTAGCGTACCAAAATTTAGTCATAACAATCAGACTCAGGCGATCAAACACCAGTCCATTAAATGAGCGTCAAATCGAAGTCGCTACCAGGTGGGAAATCCCGCCGATCAAATGAAAATAAGCGGCAAATCAAGCTCTCTGCAATCATCACCCGGAACATCGACTTTCATGACAGCTTTGTTTAATAGAAGAGGCATTACTAGGGCGCACACAACGAACTGGCAGAACGACAAAGAAACAAACACGAATAATGAGACCTGTTTGAAGGAATCCGTGGTATTGTGCCATCGACACCCACTGAAACCTGTTGATCTTTTCTGCCCATATTTATTGAGTTAATTTTTTAATTACCATTGTAAAACATGACACGTGTTACCGAAATGCACGAATGAATTTTAGGATATAAATTAGGGGAGTCAAAACATTTTGACGGCCCAAGTATTCACCTCCACGACACAGATTGGAGAATAATCGTCCAGTGGGCTGGATTTACGGGTAGAAACAACAATAACGCCAGATGAGTGTATAAGATACGTGTATTTACAAACGGGAGCGGCAACCTATGCAAAGACCTCGTCGGTTTCGTCAACTTCATGAATGACGGTCTGGAGGGTCTTGCGTTTCTGCGACCTCTTTCTAGCCTCCGATCTTTCCATGTACTTGGTTTTCTTACCGAACCGCAATGCTTGGCGGATCTACAAGGTGAAATTTAGGTTCATCGTTGAAAACCATGGATGGAACAGGAAATAAGTTATATGCCTGCTGAAAGCGATTGAGGCAGCCGGCAGGACTACGTCTCAAATTCGACCTTCGCACAATTTGATAGCTGGATGCATTCAATCAAAATACCACCTTAGCTCAGACAAGCATGCGTAAAGTAATACTACGGGGGGTAATGATAATAAACTACATATCCCAAAGCATAATAAAACGAGAGTATAGCAAAAACTAACGTTTAAAATAGGAACATCGGAATATTAATGACCGATTTAAAAGTAACATTGTGTTGAGCACTTAAGATACGCAAAGTACGGATTAAGATAGCTTATTTGAACTAATGTCGATGCAAAACTAAAAAAAGGACTCCGAATGAGTAAAGAGACTAATGTTACCTTATTTGGCGAAATATATTTCGGGTTTTCCCAGATAACAGCTCCGCTAAAGCTTCCGAGGAATATTTTCATGGGGAAAAGAGAGAAACGTGGGCCTGTAAAGTCAATATATAAGAAATTAGAGGGACAAAGAGAGTATCATAATAAACGTAATAATGCTTACCAATCTCGGATAAAGCAGCGCTTTCTTCAACGACTTGGTAAACGCGAACCCAAATTCGACCGGCAAAGTATATAAATGATAAAACCTTGTCAGTATATGGTTGCATTTTTGGGTGAAAATTGGGCGTTCCAAATGACTGCACAAAGGTTTCTTTGAGAAGCCTAAGGTACGGGAATTCCGGATTGTCGAAGCTAGGATCAAATGATAGAATTGGTCGACTATAGCGAAGAGCATTGCCTGTCATTTTTAATTCTGCAGTTGTGCTCATATTCTCTACCAAAAACTTGGCTGAAGGGCCACCAGGAATGCAGCTGATCCACATATACAGGTCGTGCTTCTTCCGACCCTCAAAAAACACCACCTAATTGATAGAAAAAAACGAAATGAAAACAAATTATTAGATTATTAACAGTGACCAAAGCATATGTACGATGTACCTTTGTAGCATTTCGGATATCAGCAAGTTCATTTATAACTGGAAGATCTTTCTTCGTGTCCACTTTTGATTCTGACTTCGAGTGTGGCATCATACCAATAAGATCCTTCATAAGATGCCGACCAAGTGCTGAAACACCCCGCGAACAAATAAATAATGTCCGTTCCCGATTTTTCCACTGTCGCTTTTTGGTCGGTCGTTCATCGGATTTCCGCTGTGCCGGTAGCAACTTTGCTATTAAGAAAGTATGCTTAAAATAAAAAAACATACGTCTTTTAGACTGCTGCAACCTTTCCGTTTCTGAAAGATTCTGAGAACCTAAAAATCGAGGTAATTAAGAAAAGCACCTAACCCCCACGTTTCGGCATCCCGGCTCGACACCTACAAATCAAATAACCCAAAAATACACCGTCCAATGAACAAGTAAGCTTGGATAAACATCAATTAATCGAAAAGGCATTTTTCAACATGCAAGTGCTAGAAAATATACACTATGTACGTATCTTTATTCATATAAGTTGACTTTAAGTTAATGCTAGTCCTTGAATCTATTCATTTTTGAAACCATTGCTACTGCTCCAATATAGTGTTCTATCCAATGCAACATTTCGGCTCCTTTAATTACAAACGATAATGCCATGTCAGGATTATGCAATTAAAAATTTTTTGTTTATAACTAGGCATGTGATTTTAGTCTTTCGGTTTGAAAGAACTTACCTACGATTTTTAATATCCGCCTTGGAATCCTAACTCTTTTGGAAAAACAGAACCTGTGGGAGTACGACCTCTGTCTCATATTGAGGGCAGAATTTCCCATGACACACGTTGAATCTTATTAATACACTTCCATATACTTCGTCAATCCACTCCTTTTTTCGCAGTGTTTCGGTTTTTTACGCCAAAACGTCAGCTAATAGATTATTCTACATATACCTTATATCTCTCTCTTTCATCCTAAATGCATTGGTCAATGAAAGCATTTGTCAAGCGTGCACATAACACAAGGTTGACCCATTCAGCAAATGGCTGTCATCGCCATTTCGGGCGTTATATTTCCCGGGAATCTGCAGTCTTTTCAGGCCAATACGACGCCGTTGCCCCATAGTGATTCAGAATTACATTCCTGCCCCTTCACCAAGCCCGGACATCACGAAAATATTAAGTGTTCACGCAATGATAAACAACACAACCTGAATCCAATGAGATAATGATTTACAACAATATTATGGGTTTTAATTGTAATGATCTTGAACTTAAAAAGTAGGGGAGGCTAGAAATAAGGAACCAAAAGAGGGGGTTGGTTCGCAACGATAGGAAACACGTGACCTCAGACAAAGAAAATCACGAAGAACACGAAGAACGCCAATAAGATGGCGAAGACTTTGATCATGAGCCAGCGGTTCGAGGAGACAGACTGAAGGTAACGGAGCAACTCAGTATGACCCGACTCAATCGCTGCCACTGATTCCCCTACATTCGAGTCAATCCTCTCCACACTCTCTTCTTGCTCGTGAACCTGAAAATAATGAAATGCAGATTGTCAGCATAGCCATATTAGCATTTCTATGTTGAAAGCTCTAGACTACACACACAGCCATTTTGTGCAATCAAACACGATTAAAAACTTGGGAACAACGGGTTGACTGAGGATAAAGTCACCCCAGGCTACCTTTAAAAAGAGGTGAAGGCTTCACCTTCGCCTCATTCTACAAGATAACAATGCGGCGGAGGTCAGCGAATCTGAGTCCACAAACGGTTAATTGAAAAATAGAGCAGAGGCGGCATACTCACCACTAAAATGCTACTTTGAACGACACAATTGTGAACGCAGGCTAGCAATAAAACTGAGTTCAAACAGCCTACGTAAAAACGCGTGGCGTCTGTTTGCACACAATTACAACATAGCACCAGCTGGATGAGCGCAACTTGACAAAAGCAACATGATGGCTATTGATCTGCGTATAAAGTAAGTCCTTAGAGGTGAGTTCAAGGTTCGACCAAGTTTAAAAGGCACTTCTGCAAAAGCGACAGCACACGTAAGTTGTCTTCGAAAGTTAGTTCAGACCAATTTTCACAGATGGGTTTTGTGGGTGTGGGTGTGCACTTACGTAGAAGGTACTTTAGAAAGTGTGCTTAAATTCACCGCAAACGTGAAACGGACAGGACCTACCATGGTAGCCAGCTGTTGGAAGATTTCGCCCAGCTCAACAATGGTGTGTTCGATGGTGCGCACGGTGTCGTAGCGTGCCGAGAGATAATTATCCGTCTGATCGCGGTACATCGTCATCATCTGTTCATTGTGCTGCACGCCCGCAAAGTCCGTCACCACTTGGTTCGACCCAACGGCGCGCCGTGCTCTTTGTTCATCCTGAGGCACAAAATCAGAAGTGATATTTAGCTCGAAAAGATGGAAATTACACAAAAATGGAACCACCAAATCAGATGAACAACACAAGACAACAGTGACACAAAAAATCACCTCCAGGAGAATGGAGGGAACGGCAGCAGCGAGAACAGGCTGTCTTGCGTTCGAGGCTGAGTCAGGTTCGAATGCGGGATTAACGACGCCTCCCGCGGCCGGAGGAGGCTGCCGCGCGGAGAAGGCATTTTTTCGGGCAGCCTGGTCCCGCAACGTTAATGATCTCTCTTCAAGCACGCGCTTGAACCTCTCCGACATGCCCGCCAATCGGGTCTGAAGGGTCATTAGCACTGAGCTCGAGTGCTTGGCGGATTGCTGTTGTTGGTGCTGGAGCTTAGTTAGGGATTGTAGGTCGGCGATTCGGTGATTTAGGTTCGCAATATCCTCTTTAATGAGCAGAGTGAGATGCTGCACCTCGGCTGAATGATCGTCAAAGAGAGTTCGTTGGCGGGCGAGACTGGAAAGACTTTCAAGGCGGCTGCAAGTGACGGCCAAATCATTGCTAATAAGTGCTGCCATGCTGGCAAATTGGGAGGTAGAAGAGACAGACGATGCATTGGCTTGAAGCCGGCGGCGCTGTGCGCGATTGGTTTTAACTCCATGATCTCCAAGACCGTTTCTGGCAATACCGTTGGTTTTCGAAGACCGAAGCGTGTTTGCAACTTGAAGAAAATCGGAAGTACGGTCCGAGCCGAAATTCATAACTACAAAATTAGCAGTTACAAATGTACAAAAATATCAAACTACTTCCAAACGAATAACGGTCCAATGATTGACATTATGTAATGCGTTATTTGTGCAAAGTTAAGCGTTAAGTGTGCACACTATCCATGTCACAGGTTGTGGAGACAAGGGAAAAAATAAGCGCGTCAAAGTGTGATTGATCTGCAAACTATGGGACGAGTGATGCACCTACATAAAACTGGAGAATATTACTAGAAGGAATCAGATCAATTTTCTTTTGAAATTAAATTTGTCTTGTAATCATACATTCACTGCTTATCCACTGAATGTTACCATATAGTAATGTAGCCACAGCATTTGAGCGAAATTGGCAGAAGAAGCGTTATTTTATAACCACAAACGTTAAAAGTAAACAGAACGACTTGCGTAAAACGCTTTTGCTGACAAAAATGCAATAATCCCAGCGACCACTGCGTGCGAGAATACTGAAAACAATAACCAAACTGATCCGAACACATATGACGAATCAACAAATTCCAAATTTGAGTTACAGACAAAACTTTGCGTCGTTGGCGGAAAAAATTACACTGAAAATTTTCTCGCATTACAAAATGACTGAATAGTTAAGCATTTAGGTTTAATGCTAAGGGTAGCGTAGTTGGTGGTGCGACTATGGTAGAAATGAAAAAACCCAAGGACACGATGTCTACATTTGACGCCAAATTATTTGAATTTAAAGATGCACACGTTGTTTGCTCTGACAACACGGAAAAATAAACCTATGAATGTGTAAAAAGACAAAGTTGTAACAGGAAATAAACGATATTAAAAAAAAGGCATTAAATATTTTGGATACAGTGAAAAAAACCATCGCTTGTATGATAAACATTTCGGTGTCACAAAATACTCTAGTTAAATTACAAATTATGACACAGCGCCATGTTATGGATGAAGTGGAGAGTAAGGTAAGGGAACATGCAGGAGGTAGACCGTTTAAGGCAATTAACATGTTTACAGAAGAGCATTAGACGGTTAAACAAAACAGCCACGCCAAACCAAATTCAAATGCATGGCATGTGCTCTGTTTGACTTTGTATTTACAAGGGAACCAGGATTCACATTCTTACGTGATAGAACAGCATTAGGATGGTAAAAACTCGGTCATTAAAAAGGACGAGGGCATATTTAATTCCGATAAAATTAAACTCACATTAAATGTAATTTGAAGTTACACAAATACTGAATAAATTGTAGCAAAGGACTTACTAAAAAACAATATCGCAGCTGGAACGACAAACTTTGACGAACGTCAAAATCCCCTCAAATTTATCTGTGCAAAGAAACAAAGGTTTTCTTTAGATGGAGTTTCCAGCGTAAAATTACTAAAATTTTTAACTTTTAGGCAACATATTCTCAAATATTTTTTTAAAAATATTTTTGAACTTCTGAAATAAAATTGCATGACTTTTCAAGGCATGCTAATTTAAATTCATGATAACAGAGGACAGCTGTATTTTGCTGTATGCCATTTTAAACGACAACCTTTTCTTTGACACTGAAAATTCGAGTCGTCATAATAAAATATGCTTGTAATGAGTCTCACATGACTTATAAATTTCTAGGGTTTAGTGTATCTGAGTATTTCGTATCAAAAATATATCGAAATAAATCGGGATAGTCGGCTGCACCTTTCATGTAAAATAATTTTCAAAATAGGGAGATGGTAAATAGGGTATATTTTTGTGCAATTTGCGAGTATTACCAATTCGTATTTCACATTGCCAATTAGAATGTTCAAAATAAGGGATTTAATCTGAAGTATTTGCATGCGTGCCAAACCTCAATTTCCTACTTCTGTACTATTAATTAGCGAAGTTTGAGTTCATGAGCATTGATGAGAATATCTGCGTTCGTCTACACAGATGCTATGTGAAACACGTACTGCGTTTGACTTAACAATTGTAGATAAAATAGCATAATTATTTTTAATGTCACGGAAACTGGTGTTTTTCGCGATACATTGAAAAAAATTGTTCCACAGAAGTTGTTTTCGTTTTTGAAGCAAAGAATGATT